TGGTCAACATTCATCCATTTCAGGAGGCAGAATATGATCAAGAACCAATGGTATTGAAGGAAGAAGTCCAAGCTGCACTGAAGGCATTGGCAAATATATAAGAACCCAGGAAGTAAAGGAACAAATGAAATGTTTCAACACACTGATGCAGTACTGGATGCAGTTAGCAGCCTATGCCAAAAAATTTGGAAGACAGATACCTGGCCAACCAACTGGAAAAGATCCATATTTGTGCCCATTCCAAAGAAAGGAGGCCTTACAGAATGCAGAAATTATCAAGCAATATCAGTATCGCACATGAGTAAAATTTTGCTGAAGATAATTCAAAACCAGTTACAACAGTACAATAATACATATTGCTGAGAATGCAAGTTGAATTCAGAAGTTGTTATTGCTAAGTGCCGTTGAGTCGATTCTGAATTACAGCAACCCTGTTTAGGATTTGTGAGGAGCGGTTAATGAGTTTGAACCACTGATCTTGAGATTCATGTGACCTTGCGATCCGGTGCTTATCCTCAAGTGCCATACCAGGATTCGGAAGAGGGCATGGAAAATGGAATAAAACTGTTAACATCAGATGGATCTTGGCTAAAGGTCCAGAATACTAGAAAGATTGCTACCTGTGTGTTTCTGACAATGCAAAGGCATTATGAAGGTCATAACAAACTGCGAATAACACTGAATAGAATGGAAATTTCAGAACACTTAATTGTGCTCAGGTGGAATCTATACATAGACCAAGAGGCAGTCATTCAAACAGAACAAGGGAACACTGACTTTTAAATTCAGGAAAGGTGTGTATCAGTGCTGCATCCCTTCACCATGCATATTCAATCTGTATGCTGACTAAATAATCCAAGAATCTGGCCTAAGTAAAGCAGAATGTGACATCAGGATTGGAAGAAGACCCATTAACAACAAGCAAAATTCAGATGACACACCTTGTTGGCTGAATGTGAATTAGACTTGAAGCTCTTACTGATAAAGATCAAACCATCTTCACTATGGATTACAGTGGATGTAAAGAAAACAAAAACCCTCACTACCTGAAGAATAAATGATATGATATGTGAAGAAAAGATTGACGTTGTCAAGAATTTCATTTTGTTTGAACATTGAATTTCAATGTTCATGGAAGCAGCACTTAATAAGTCAAATGATGTGCTGCATTGGTCAAATCTACCGCCAAAGAGCTCTTTATTAAACTGTTAACGTTGAAAGATGTTAGTTTGAGGACTATGTGGGACCTGACCCAAATCAGTTTCAATTACCTGTTAGCAATAGCTAAGTGCCATCAAGTCAGTTCCAGTTCATAGCGCCCCTGTATAGGATTTCCAAGGAGCAGTTGGTGAGTTTGAACTGCCAACCTTGTGGTTCAAACCGACCTTGCGATCCATTGCTTATCCTACAGTATCACAGCAGGATGTGAAAATTGGACAATGATTAAAGAAGACTGGAGAAGAATTGATGCATTTGAATTATGGTGTTGGTGAAGACTAGTAAAGAATTTTGAAAGTACTAGAAGAACAAACAAATCTGTTCTGGAAAAAGTGCAACCAGAATTCTCCTTTGAAGTCAGGATGGCAAGACTTAGGACATGCTATCAGGAAGGGCCAGTCCCTGGAAATGGGCATTATGCTTAGTGGAGGAGAGGGTTAGTGCAAGAGAGGAAAGCCCCCAATGAGATAGATTGACACGTGGCTGCAACAATGTACTCAAACAGGACAATTGTGTGGCTGGCCCACGACCAGGCAATAGTTTGTTCTGTTTTGCACAGGGTCACTATGAGTTGGAGCTGACTCAAGAACTCTACCAACAACATTTTCAAGATTCATCTACACTTTACTGTGTATCAATATTTCATTTTTATTCCATTGTATGGATAAGCCACATTTTGTTTATCCATTCATCTGCTGATGGAGATTTAGATTGGCTCTACCTTTTGACTATTAACAATGATCCAGATGAGCATTGTTGTTCATATTCATGATTTTATTAATCACTTTCATCATAAAATGACAGGATTAATAACCAGGTAGGCCAGAGGGATCATCAGGTGGTATCGTTAAATATCTGTTGTTGTTAAGTGCCGTTGAGTCAGTTCTGACTCATAGCAATCCTGTATAGGTTTTCAGGGAGCGGCTGGAGGGTTTAAACTGCCAACATTGCGGCTAGCAACCCAGTGCTGATCCTACAGCGCCACACCAAGACTCCAAATGTCTTCAGGGTTCACTAAAATGTGCACTCAAAAAGAAATAAACATCCATGAATATTTTTGCTTCCTCTCTGCTTGTTCTTTATCATCACACTTTATGAATTATCTGAAGACGTGCTTTTCTAAATAACCTTCAAGATGGCCATTCTCAGTTATTCCTGTGCACTGCATTCCTGTGGGGCTTCTGGGTACCTTGCTGTTTTAGGGTTATATTGCTCCTTGCATTTTTCTCTTGTTTATATTTTATCTGCTCAGGACTAAACCAAAAATTCCAGGACAAAGACAAAATCTTTCAATTATTTAGTAGCTTTTCTGCTCATTTGTTTTAAAGCTACATATAAAGCAGTAAATAGTCACAACTGTTAACCAAATTAATAAACTTATCTTTAATAATCAAGTATAACAGTTTGGAAATCTCTTAGTAAGGGGCACTGTAATTAGCATTGAAAACCTGTACACTTGAAATACTCCTTCTGGTTTGGTTTCTATCTCAGTTACAAAACGTTCACATACCACCACCCTGCCTCCCCACTTCCCCTTCAAACACATACACAGTCCCTATCCCCCATATACAATTTAGGCAACTCAAATACTGAAATACTGAAATGTAAAATGCTTGGATTAACATGAAAATATCACTAATGTAAAGGAACTTTGCTATATAAAGAATGCTGTTGTTAATTGCCTTTGAGTCAGTTCCAACTCACAAGTGTTTCTGAGAAGTGGCTGGTGAGTTCCAACGGCCGACCTTATGGTCCAGTGCATTATCTTGTAGCGCCACACATATTGCATCTTGTTCAGGTTATCTTCCAATTAGTTTGTATAAATACAATTTTGCATAACCAGGGCTATATTGTTGTTATGTGCCACGGAGTCGGTTCCGACTCATAGCGACCCTCTACAGGGTTTCCGAGGCTGTAAATCTTTACGGGAGCAGAACGCCTCATCTTTCTCCCAGGGAACAGCTGGTAGTTTTGAATTGCTGAACTTGAGGTTCGCAGCCTGATTCGTAACCACTACGCTACCAGACTGAAAATAATAAAAATGGGTTGTTGTTTTGTTTTGGTAAGGATATTGCTTATTTTTAAAATGTACTACATCATTTTTTATTTATCATACAAAGTCTATTTTCATAGAAAAAGATGATTCTTGCTAATTATCTAAGAATGCTGAGTTTAACAGAGCTCAAACAACAGACTCCTCCTTTTACATCTCCCGCCCTTCGTCAATACCATTGTTAGCAGAGAGTTAAAGCATGGGAAAGACACCCACGGAGTACGGTGTAGGGAAAGTGCTGTACTGCTAACTGTTAGCTCAGCAGTTCACGTTCACCAGCCACTCCTCTGAAGCCCTATTCAAGGTGCTATGAGTGGAACCAACTCCAGGACACGCTTAACAACAACAGATGGTCTGCAGAGGGGTCATGGAGCGAGTCTACCAGTTCACCATACAGCCTTGATGCAGGGAACATTCTAACCTGGATTAGGGGAGGAGAGCGGGAAGGGCAGAGAAGGACAATATGCCCAAGTCAGTAAAACAGTCTGGGGTGTGATCTGTCACCATTTGACCAGAAAAGCAGGATGGACAAAATGTCAGGGGCTTTCTCAAATACACCGGGACAATCTCTTACTTCAGACATAGAAAGAGTTCTTATTCTTGGTTCCTATACAATGGAATTTGGAAACTGCCATTGATTACCAATTTAGAAACCATGGTTCCTGAGGCCTATCTTGGTCCCTTGAAGTTGTTATGATATTTCATTTGTTCAACAGAAGACTACCTTGGTTCATCTTTCCTTTGTGATCCACTTGGAAATTAATCCTAGCTTTCCTTGCTTACTTAAGTGTTTATTCTTGGCAAATGTGCACATTTCTATAATGTTTCTATTTAACAACTGGAAGAACTATGGAGCATGGGTGATGAAACACGATGTATCTAAGAGGTCCAGGTACCGCAGCAGGTAAGAAAGCCGGAGGAAGCAGGGATCTCACACGTCGGCACCCTCGGCACGTACCTTAAGGGGCATCTTTGCGTGTTCGTTTAGTAATGGGACATCAAACACGAATCTTCGGAGTAAGTGCTGCATCATGGAAGGTCTCAACTGGCTGTTGGAAGAAAGCCAATTTACTAATAAGGAGGACTAGGTCTAAGTCAAGTAGATAACTCATTAGACTAAGTTATGTCAGCTACTGCTTCTTTCATCCCTAACCACTCACAGCTGCACATAAACATCATTTGGAAAGCACGTACCCTCACTTCATTAATTCTAGAAAATGCTTTTCTCCCTCAGAGGTCTTGAGTTACTGAATCAGAAACAGGAAGAAGAAGGTATGTAGGAGCAGAAAGGTGGAGGTGGGAGAAGAATGAATAAATAAATGAAGGCTGTGACAGTCATTTTGCCAGAAGAGGAAGAAAAAGAATGCTGAAACATAATGAACAGCTGCTAAGGCTGGTCTGAACAGCAAGGTCGGTGGTTCAAATCCACCAGCCGCTCCTTGGAAACCCTATTACAGGGTGGATATGGGTCAGAACTGCCTCGACGGCACTTAACAACAACATATCAGAAACTGCTGAGCACTGTACTTCATTTACCCTGTGAAATACGTATTATTGCTTCCATTTTACAGATCTTTAGGGTCAGGAAAAATACATTAGCAATCTGAGGACAAATCAGTAGTGAGGTACTCAAACATAATCTATGTAACTCAAGAATACATACTACTTGTCTGTCCTGCCCACTTGGGTTTTTATTCTCCCTTCTCTGCCCAATTATTTCTTTGAAAAATGAGGTTCAAATTTTAGGATCACAACTTGTTTGAAAACATATACCCTTTAGCATGAAGCTAAAACTCACTACTTATAAATCTCATTCTGACCAAAGAGTAATACAAATATAAAGTAGCCATACACTGAATTCTAGCTACGTATAAATAATTATTTTATTAAAGCCAGTTTTCAATTATTCATGTAAGAGAGCTATGAGAGATTGTCTTCAATATGTATTCTCTATGAGAGGTCTTCTTGGTGTCTGCTTATATTAAACACAGACACATTGTCTGTTCTTTTCTATGAGCCTCCTCATTCCCTCCCTTCACACACAAACACTGGCTGCTGTCACACACACTTGACACATTTGTTGTTTTAGCTTCCCTCTAGCTTAGGGTAGTCTCTATTTCCAGGAAAACCAATACTTTTGTGCACTGATATATGTGTAGGCCTAAAACAGAATGAGTCCAACTCTTTAGAATGGGAGAGGGTATCAGTATACCTCATCTGAGTCAGTTTGACTTGTCAGCTTTCAGAAATTCTGAGTAACCCCTTCACAAGCCCATTACTGCTAAAGTACTGAACTGTAATCTACTTGACTAACCAGGATTCTAAACAACCTTTAGTTAAACCAGGCTCCTGGAAACAGGAAGCAGGTAACCAGGGAGATAGAGTTAATGGAGGTCACTTCTCATTTCTTTCAAAACAATGATGCTTTCATAGGAAAGCTAACGAGGTCCTGGCTTTCAGGACAGAAGGACTCATTCAGCCTAGTCACTACCACACAAGTAATACCAAGATGACAATATTAATGACAAAATGATATCTTTTTATCTTTACATTTAATAATTTTCCCTTTTGTCTATCCCGTCTTGAAGGTGAATTAAAACATTATCACACAGAGAACAAGGGGAAGAATATATCATTCATACACAAAGGTGATCAGAGAGTCCTAGTGTAGTGCTGAAGGACAAACACTGGACTACTAACCACAGAATTGGTGGTTCAAACCCAGCAGCCCCTCCTAGGAAACCTTAAACAGGGTTGCTATAAAAACCGAGTTGATGGCACCTAACAACAACAACGAGGTGACCAAGGACCTGTTCAATCATTCCACCACCAACATCCAGAATAGCATACTATCCTTAGGCCGACAGTGAGTCTAGTGCTAGAGACCCTGCAGAGGTATGGGTGTGACCACGAGCAAGAGAGCGCAGATTAGACTCAGACCTCAGTACAGGGGAGTCCCTAAAAGAGAAGAAACTGGATGAATTAAGTTTGAGTACAGAAACGTTCTCTAAAATTCGTACCAATTCATTAAAGGCCAGTGTAATTCCTTTTTCTTAAAGAAGAAGAAACTGGGTGTAGAGTGTGAAGCCCACTTACCCACAAATGGAGAGTAAACACACTTCTATGGAGTCACGTTGAGCTTTGGTAAGTGAGCAGCCCTTAGAGAGTCTGTACACAGTGTGGAGTAAGGAGTCAATGAGGGAAGCGTGGTGCTCCGTGCCCGCAAAAAGGGGAGCACATCTTGTCAACAAAGGCAAGACTGCAGTGCACAGGTAGCGATTGAGGGCCAAGGCCATGTCTGTAGCACTCAGAGCAGCCTACAAAAGGAACCAAGAGCAAAAAGTTGCTTGGGTTAAGCCGCAGACAACTTTGAACAGGAACATGGAACTAACATGCAATTTCAATGTCTAAGTAGAAAATGACATGAATATGAAAAATGGAAACATAATGCTCAGTCATGTCTTTAAATGTAGACCCTATAATCTTTGGCTCCTAAATACAATGAACTTTCCATTTTTCATATATATGGAAAAATGAACAAATGATTCTCTCTCAGATTCTTCAAAAAGCCTATGAGGTTAAGATTAGATAATAAAATATCACAGGTATGAGCAATGAAAGATGCTAGTGATATTAAAGTGTGTGGGTATTTCTCTTTAGCAGGGGAAGAACGAGAGAACAAAAAACTTATCTGTCAAATCAATTTCATGCTACAAATTCTTCCTGAATTCTATTTTTCATATCATGTGTAGTTCAGCTTACATCCATGGGAATCAATCATCAAAGGTGCTACTACACTGTCATATACACTAGTTGAGGCTATGAGTTTCATTTGAAAGCATCTAACCAAGAAAAGGAGTGTAATGGCTCTGCAGTGTAAAAACCAGACTGCTAACCACAGGGTTGACAGTTCAAGCCCAACCAGCTGCTCTACAGCAGAACTATGAAACTTTCTGCTCTGAGAAGGTTTTATAGCCATGGAAACCCTATACAGGGTCCCTATGAGTCAAGACTGACTTGACAGTACTTAACAACAACAAGAATCACACTGTTTCAGAAAGCTGGGTATTTATAATGATGGGAGAGGCTCATCTGTGTGAGTCACTTCACATGCAGGATGGAGTTTAAACTCTCTGCTCCCTACCACGTAACAGCACCAGGAGAAAGCTGCCATTAACGTGACTCAACAGTGTCCATTCAACCTTCTCAATAATTACATTTCTGAGGCTGTCAATTTCTCCCACTATTTAGTGAATTTGTGAGGATGTGATCTGTTTTCTTTTCTCTGAAAACATACTAAGTATTCAGTATGTTTGTTGATAAAGGCATGAATGGCTAGATCTATGAAGCACTAGGCCAAAGAGTCTAAACTAAGGGACTAAATTATTCAAAGCATTACCGTATCTAAAGAGGCAGCAGCACGGAGATCTGGCAGAAAGCCAACCTCAAGCAGATGGAGGAGGAAATCTTGAACCTCAATCCCATAGACCCTGTCAAGGAACAAAACCATGGCTGCCTTGTGATCTGGGCAAAACCCTGCAGACATGTCAGGCTCCACCACATTCCCATCTAAAAGAAAGAAAGCAATATTTTGGTATTAAAGGCCAGGCCATCAGTGAGCTCAGATTACAAAATCGTTTTTTTTCCATTCATTTCATTTTAAAAATTGAGTTGTCAATGGAATTCTATTCTAGTCTTCCTACTATCCACAAACAGGTTCTGAGAGTGGGCTGTAAAAAAAAAAAAAGGCAGTGCAATTTAAATCTACAGTCAATGAAAATGCTATTTGATCATCTATCTGTTACTTGAATATATGCTAAGAACAGACCATTTTACTAGATGTGGAGAAGGAAACAAACATATCTAAAATCTACATAAAAAGCTAAGATGTAAAGGAAGGATTCTTAATCTTTTCCATATTCTAAACATCAATAATTCTTACACACCCTCATCTGAAGATGATGTGGACACTGCCTGGTCCTGGGCCATCCTCACAAGGGTTGACACACTGGAGCCCATTGGAGTCCTGGTGTGGCACTGTGGGTTAATACGCTATACTGCAAACCGTTTGTACTGCAAGATCGGCAGTTCAAGCTCACCAGCTGCTCCTAGGAAACTCTATACAGGGTCGCTATGGGTAGGAACTGACTCGACGGCACTTAACAACAACAACATAACTACCATGGTTAACTGTGTGTGTCAACTGGCTAGGCGGTGGTACCCAGTTGTGTCAAAAAGTGGACTAGATGCTTTATGTGAACTAGATAAACCTGATGAAATTAATTGGCCCTAAGTAAAACAGAATACCCTTCATACACGGGTGGGCCTTATTCAGTCAGTTGAAGATCTTAAGAACGAAGACTGAATTTTCCTTAGGGTACATTCTGCTTACTATTCACAAATAAACATCTTGCCAGAACTCCCTTATTCTTCACTCTTTCTGTCTTCTAACACAAGAATGCAGAAATCTCCAGCCTATTGCCTGACCTACAGAGCTTCACAATTTGCCAGCCTCCAACAATTGTGTGAGCCAATTCCTTCAAATAAATCTATATTTCTATACTCATTCTGAATATATTTCTATACTCATTATGTTTCACAAAGAACCCTAAGGCAGTGATTTTAAATATAATATGTTTAATTAATCATCAAGGCATTTAACAATATATTTTAAAGTAATATTTTCTATCAACAGTCGATACTTCACACCTATATAAATTTGTGAACACCTAAGACTAACTCTATAGCTTCATAAATTGGTGACATCTGATACAAGATATGATGGAATTATATGTTAATGCAAAAGTCAGCAGTTCAAATCCCGAAGCCGCTCCAAAAGGGAAAGATGAGGTTTCCTGGTCCTGTAAAGATTACAGCCTCAGAAACCCTATGCAGGGTTGCTATGAGTCAGAACCAACCTGATGGCAGTGAGTTTTCTTTTGCCTTCTGTGCTATATAAGTAAAACTTAAAATGTATCATGACATTCTACAAATAAAATAGAATATTTAATATTAATGGGATGTTGAAGAAATAACACCTTAGTGAAAGATGACATGTGATTCTAATCATCTTGAAAGAATAAAGTAACTACTTTCTGCTTTTATTTACTGTCAATGAATATATACATATAGACAGACAGAAATTAATATTTGAATATTGAAAATAAAACCATAACATACCAGTGGCTCAGAGGAAATAAGACTAAAGGTATCAGTTTGACTAACACTTCCGTTCCTTATGAAGCTAAAGAATAGTTTTTTCTGCTTCTACTGTTGTCATGAGCTGATTTCCAAGCACTAAAGATGGGATCGCCTGCCATTCTCTGTAACGGAAGCATTTCAATCGCCAGTCTCATAGTCACTACAAAGTAGGTATCACTAGTCTCATTAAATAGACAATAAACATTGAACTTTAGATAAATTAACTAATTTGTTCAAAGTCACACACCTAATAAGTGGGAAAGTTGGATTCAATCCAACAAAAGTTAGGTTCACGGACATCATACATGAATGAAGAAAAAGGATACTTAAAAGACTGAAATGAGCAAAACAGTGCCCAGAGAACTGCACTTACAATTCTAGTCTGTATTATATCAACCAAGAGACAGATGGTGAGTGCCTGAGGACACACCTACATAGTCATTGGCTAAATATAAATACAATGATATCACATTGACTGAGAAAGCAGACAATTTCATCTTATACGACTGAAACAGGACAGAATGCTTCAAACAAGTGGTGAAAATTCAGAATCAGAAAATAAAATACCAGAAATGGTATCAGAACTACTTGATAGGGAATTACGGAAAAAAAAAAAAAAGATATGCAAGGAACTCTGGTAGCGTAGTGGTTACGAATCGGGCTGTGAGCCGCAAGGTCAGCAGTTCGAAACTACCAGCGGGTCCGTGGGAGAAAGATGAGGCAGTCTGCTCCCGTGAAGATTTACAGCCTCGGAAACCCTGTGTAGGGTCGCTATGAGTCGGAACCGACTCCATGGCACTTAACAACAACAACAAGTACCTTCAAAAGATTGAGAAGACAGATCATGAAAACTGCAGATGGAATTACAAGAACAAACTGACACAATAAATGAAAAACTGAAAGTGATATTAAAACCAGCAATTGGAACATTAATACTAAGACTTCAGAAATAGATAATATATCAAAAGGGTAAATAATTAAAACTGAATAAATGGAAAGACTAGTGAATTTGAGACAAATGTTTCAATATATATCTGGTAGAAGAATGATCAGAAATAACAACAACATACAAAAACATTTCAAAGAAAGCTTGTGATATGTTTGAGACACTTTCAAGAGGAATAACTTCAGTATGACTGGAATTCCAGAACAAGAAGAGACAAAAAGAAGGTCATAGTGAAAACTATTGAAGACTTGCTGGAAGAAAATTTCCTAACATTGTAAAAGATGAAAATATATCTACTCAAGAAGTTGAAGAAACTCCAAACAGGATAGACTCCAAAAGAAAATTTCCAAGGCATATTAAAAGTAAACTTTTGAAAAACTAAAGACAAGGAAAGAATCCTGAGAGATCAGCTCTGGGAAAATTGAAAAGTTATCTGCAAAGGAGAACTTATAAGATTAATAATACCTCAGCAGAAACCATGCAGGCAATAAGCATTAGGATGACATATACAAAACTCCAAAAGAATTAAAAATTGCCAGTAAAGAATCATATATCCAGCAAAATTGTCTTTCAAATATGATAGAGAAATAAGGGAATTACCAGATAAACAGAAATTAAAAGAATTTGCAAAAACAGAAGCACCTTACACAAAATAGAAAGGGAGTTCCTTGGACAGAGAACACACACCGTCAAACAACAACCTGACATTAACACGAATGACAATTATCACCCAGAACTAAATCCAAATATGTTGTTGTTGAGTGCCGAGTAGGTTCTGACTCTTTGGTTGTTATTATTATGTGACATCAAGTCGGTACCGACTCATAACGACCCTCTACACAACATAATGAAACACTGTCCAGTCCTGCGCCAACCTCACAACCGTTTCTAAGCTTGAGCATATTGCTGGTATCGCTGCACCAATCCATCTTGTTGGGGGTCTTCCTCTTTTTCACTGATCCTCCGCTTTGCCACGCATTATGTCTTTCTCCAGGGACTGGTCCCTCCTGATAATATGTCTAAAGTATGAGAGACGACGTCTTGCCACCCTGCTTCTATGGAGCATTCTGGTGGTACTTCTTCCAACACTGATTGGTTTGTTCTTTTTGTCAGTGCATGGCACTTTTAATAATCTCCTCCAACACCATTACTCAAATGCATCAATTTGTCTACATTCTTCCTTAGTCGCTGTCCAACTTTCACATGCATATGAGGTTATCAAAAATACCATGGCTTGGATCAGTCCTCAAACTGATATCTTTGCTCTTCAACAGTTTAAAGAGGTCTTGTGCAGCAGATTTACCTAATGCAATACGTCATTTGATTCTTGACTGTTGCTTCCATGAGTGTTGAAGGTTGATCCAAACAAAATGGCGACTTTGACAACATCAATCCTGTCTCCATTTATATGGATGTTATTTACTGGTCCAGTGGTGAGGATTTTGGTTTTCTTTACATTGATTTGCAACCCATACTCATGAGTGTGGTCTTTGATCATCATCAGTAAGTATTTTAAATCCTCTTCACTTTCAACAAGAAGGCTGTTAATGAGTCTTCCTGAAATCCTGATGCCACATTTTTCTTCATACAGTCCATTTCAGATTATTTGCTCAGCATACAGACTGGATAAGTATGGTGAAGAAATACAACTCTGTCACACAACTTTCCAAATTTTAAGCCATTCAGGGTTCTCATGGAACAAGTGCCTCTTGGTCTATGTAGAGGTTCCTCATGAGCAGAGTTAAGTGTTCCAGAATACTCATTCTGCACAATGGTGTCCATAGCTTGTCATGATGCACACAATAGAAAGTCTCTGCGTAGTCAATAAAGCACAGGTAAACATCTTTCTGGTATTCTCTGCTTTCAGCCAAGATCTATCTTATATCAGCAATGATATCCCTCGTTCCACGTCCTGCTCTGAATCCAGCTTGAATCTCTGGCAGTCTTTTTGACTTACCATTAGCAAAATTTTACTTACATATAATAGTAATATGATTCTGCATTTATTTCTATATTTTGTTTGGACTGGGCACAACTACGGATATTTTCCAATCGGTTGGCCAGGTAGCTATCTTCCAGATGTCTTGGCAAAGATAAGAGAGTGTTTCCAGTGCTGCAATTTATTAAAATATTTCAATTTGTATATCATAAATTCCTGGAGCCTTGTTCTTTGTTAATGCCTTCAATGCTCCTTGGATTTCGACTTTCAGTATCATTGTCTATTGATCATATGCTAGCTCTTGAAATGGGTTAACATCACTATTTCTTTTTGGTACAATGACTGTGCATTCCTTCCAACTTCTTTTGATATTTTCTGCATCATTCAATATAATTTTCCCATAGAACCCTTCAATGTTGCAAGGGGAGGCTTGAGCTTTTTCTTTAGTTCCCTCAACTTGAAAAATGCTGAGTGTGTTCTTCC